TAGCGTTGGATTTTCCATTTAATTTCAATTCCATGTGGTTTGTTGATATGCATGACGCGTGAAGAGTAACTAATAGCGATAAGATTTTGCTCGAGATTTTAAGTAACAGAGCTCTGAGAACAGCTGACACTGTGAGAGTTGACTTCTCTGTGGTTGTTCTATCATCTATAATTCTGAAAACGCTCGATGCTGCCAGAATTTCAAGAACTTTCGGAACTCCACAACGTTCAACACTCACTAGCATCCCCTAGCCACATAGGATCGGTCACATCTCCAAATACGTTCTCAAATTCCGGTTGTTATCGGCGTTTGATGACATCGACGATGAAGCTCAGCATTCAAGATGTAATTGCGAGCCCACCAACCACAAATTATGTATCGCAGATCGCAGGCATCGGTTGATGAGGACCTGCAGATCACGCCACACTAGTTTATAACAGCAAGTTGGATTAATAACGCTCTGGGATTGCATAAAATTGAGTTCACGTTTTTAGCAAAATTTCTTATCTTAGTTGGGACTACAAGTTGATGAATAAAAATGGTTCAAATTTTGGGCGCAAAGATGGCGCAGCGATACATTTTTTTTATTTAGCAAACTCTGGAATTTGATGGACCAGGAAAGATCAATAAACCTTGTATTATAGTTTGTACTTTTTTTATGGATGTACAAGTTATGGATAATGTTGTTTTTTCTACGCAATAAGATTTACGAAAACTAAGCTCAAGAATTTATCATGATTACTGAGCTATGTGTTCTTTTTCTATTAGCTTAATATTATTCCAGATAAAAAATTTAAAACGGTTTAATCGAAAAGTAGATTAATTTCCGGTGCTCAAAATCAAAAAAGAACAATTGTGATACATTGTTCTTGGATCACGAAAATCGCTTATAACACTTTACAGCTCTCTAGTCTTACCATGGCATACATTTTATCAAATTTTAATAAATTATTTTGAGGTGTATGTTTATTAGTTTCCTACAACATGTCGAAGAGAAATATGCTCTTGTTACATGACATGTAAAAAAAATATTCAAATAATTAATTGTTTGTTCTCAACCAGTTTCCAAATTTATTTTATGGATTCCCACCGATATATTCAGATATATGTATTATCATATTTAGAACTACTATGGAATTCACCTTTAACTTAACAGGAAATTCTCTTGGAATGCTCCGCGACCATTAAATTCTCGTTGAAATTCCCTTGACACTCTCCTAAGAGTTTTATTGGAATCCTGCTTAAGCACTCTCCTTGACAATCGAGTAAGAATTTATTTGAAATACTTCTTAAAATTCCTTTGCAATTATTTCGAAAATTAGATTCCTTTAAAATGTTTCCCAAACATTTTTTTTTGAACTCAATTCTCTTTGTAAAAATTAGAAGATACTAAGAACTTAAGGAAACATCATCGGTAGGACACGTGTATGAGAGAACATTTTCGAGAAAATCTATGGGGTTTGAACCTACAAATCCCATTACATCTCTTCTCATTTGTAATTATAAAATAAATTTGAAAATAGACATATATGCTTTTGTTAACAAAGATTCAAACGTCAATTTGTCGAAACTCTTAGCTCGTACACGCAAACTAACACCACTATCATGTTAAGAAAATATGACCCTACCTCATGGAATTCTTTTCTACTTCTCTCTCTTAGCTAATCACCATTAAACATTTCTTATCAATCTCAACAACTTTGCTATGTCCGAGATTTGGTGAAATTTGAGCAATATTTGGATTTTTGGTAAGCAAGCAATTTTCTTCAATAGATGTTCATCAATTTTAATGAGGCATTAAAAAGTTATTTTTTTTCTGAGTGTATACTAGACTGATGCAAAATTTGAAATTTTCGCTCCACAGTGCGAATTTCCAAATTGGGTCCTGCTTAGCCTCCCAAAATTTGAACTACTTTAGTAAAAAACTGACTTGGCACAAACCATTTCAAATTTATATGGGAATTACTATGGGAAAATCTATTTTTTTTTTGTTCATATTGTAGAAAATTTTCTCAGCTACAACTTTGTTGAAAACTACTTTTCAATCAAATGTAAGGAACAAAAGTTATTAATGATTCATGTCACTGATGTCTTATGATTATGCTCATTCAACTGTTCAGCAGGGAACATTGGTGTTTCTGGTGCGAAGAATAGAGCACAAATATCATGGCTATGTCACACTGCAGAATCCAGTGTTGCCCACAAAACAGCTGCTTGATCATGCCGTAAGATTATCAATCTCTTAAACAATTAATAACAATTTAATTTTATTATTATTATTATTATCTCTATTTAGGAGATACACAATTTAATTTGACATTTGGCTGAAAAACGATATTCCGCAAAGTTGTAGCTTAGAAGATTTACCGTAAGAATAGTTATAGAAATTTTCGAAAAAGCAATATGGAAAATGGGTATAAGACAATGAACAAAAAGATTGGCTTTCCCATAGTAATTTCCATATAAACTTCAAATAGTTTGTGCCAAGTCAGTTTCTTACCAAATGAGTTTAAATTTTGGGAGGCTAATCAGGACCTGATTTGAAACTGTTTGAGCACTGTGGAGCAAAAATTTCAAATGTTGTATCAGTCTAGTGTATACCCCCCTTAAGTAACAATTTTCACTACGCAAATAAAGTACTAAAAAATGAAGAAACATTCTAGAAGACATCAACATCAGGGCTGGTAGCGAGTCACTTTTTAGTGACTTGGTCACTTTTTTTCAAGCCAGTCACTAAAAAGTCTCTTTTTTAAGGTCAAGTCACTAAAGTCACTTTTTCTTGTAATCAGTCACTATTTTCAACTTTTTTAGCGTGAATTTATTTCAAGATTGATCATTCTTTGCTTTGTGCCGTTTAATCGTCTTTCTCTATACACAGGGTGTCTACTCATTTTTCTAAATAAAATTACCTGAGTTTTCCAGGTTTTTCCAGTACTTTAATGGATAAATTCCAGGTTTATAATAAAAAAAGTTATTTTTTAAACGCGTTAAAAATATACTTTTTAGGATCAAAAACCACAGCAATTTACCCAAACGTTTTTAAGACATGGCAATCAGTTTTAAAGAAACAGCTTTACAATCAAATCCATTGAATGTTGAAGTTTAACACTTACTTAATTTGAGTAAGTTCAAGCTGAAAATACGGGGAACTTACTGGAAGCTTACGTCCAGACTTTTGGAGCAGTTTAAAAAAAATCGAGAACCCTTAGGATGTTCCGAGAATTTCAGGGAAGTACAGAGCCCTTCAGAGAATTTATGAAAACTTCAGAAATATTTCAGAAACTTCACAGAAGTCCAGAGAATTTCAGGGAAATTTAAAGGTGTTTACGGAAGTTCCATTTATTTCCGAGCAGCAGAACCGAGATCTTCAATAGTTATAATACTTAAGGGAAATTGTCGAAACTTCAAGGCAATTTCAGTAAAGTTGCGGATTCTTAAAAGATACTGAACATTCAGGGCAGTCTAGAGAACTTTAAAGAAATTCAATAATCGTTTAGGCAGGAAAGTCTAGATTATTGAAAACAGTTTTAAATTAGTGTCGATAATTTAAGGGAAGTTTCCAGAAATTTAGAAAAACTTCGAAAACTTCACAAAAGTTTAAGAATTTGATGAGAAGTATTGTGAACATCCGACTAGTTTCTCAAACTACAAAAGAACTTCAAAGCTTCCCTTGAAATTCTACACACATTGTAAGTCTCCTAAGAATTCATTGGCAGTTCTCTTCACTAATTCCTTAGATTTCTTCTCATAATTTATTTGGCGAACCCTCCTGAACTTATTTTCCGAATTCCTTTGAGGATGTTCTGGAGTTATTCTCAGATTTAATTGTAATCCTCCTTTTAGTATTTTCAAAAAGATTCCAAGGACTTATGCTCCAGATTCGTTTTCTCCCACAAACATAAAATTATCCTCAGTAGGCCCTTGGAATTTTGCTCTGAAGGAGTTGTGCCCCTCAGAAATTTTCAGAGTTTTCATTAAACATTGCTTTTAATTCAATTCAGGGTTTCTTGAAATTCTACTCAAAACTATCAGGCTTCACAAGACATCTAAAATACCTCAGATCTACCTTAAAAGCAGATTGTATTTGATGTTTTTCTGAAAGTTTTTTTTCCCCCAAAACTTCCTTGAAATGAGGTCCTTAGAAATTATATTAAAATTCCACGAGCTTTTAAAACTGTGCATGGATTTTGAGTCCAGATTCTTGAAAATTTCTTGAAGTATTATAGCTTTTAAGTGCAGAACTAATTCAAATTTAAAATTTCTAGAAAATATGCATGCTCAAAAAAAAAACATTTCAAACAGCTTCTGTTTTTTTTTAAATTTATTTGTTACTGAAGATTAGTCCACTGTGGATCTATAAAGTTCAAAGTGTGAATGAAAATAACGAGACAATTTAAGAAGAAAATTATTAAATTCTCTGAGCCTTCCAGGTAGTTTAAGGAAAAATAAAATTTCCTGAGGATTCCCGGTTTTCCAGGTTTTTGCAGTTAGTAGACACCCTGACTAATACTATTGGTTTGGAAATAAACTTTCTATTCAATCTCGCTTAAAAGGTTCATATTGTACATAAGTGTTTATGAGATACTTATTGAATAAGTCTAAAACATCAAACATTTATTTTCTCTTAGGTCACTTTTTAGCTACTAATTTTACAACTATAAGTCACTTATTTCTTCAACATGGTCACTAAAATCACTATTTTTGACAACAGCCCTGCAACATTCTACACTCAATAGTTTCGTCGCAAATAGCCATGTCCCACTTTTTTTTGTCCCACTTTGCAATACTACAGAAAAAAAGTAAATTTTTTAAATAAGGACCACCATGGCAGAATCATAAGCATAATGTTAGAAAATCATGTCAAACCTCTATAAAAAATGTGTGCCAAACTTTGATAATTGAATAATTGTTGTGAGAACGCACACAGATTCAGTCAACCTAGAATGTCGTCATTAATAACCGCATCTTCTTAACCGTTTTGTTTTTCTTTTATTTTGCAGAACTCACCTGAAGCTAGAGTCGTTAGAAGACGCCGTGGTGCTAGACGACCCGACCGAAGACCTTCTGCAGGATAAACGAGGCTGTCCCGCCTACGTGTCGCCGGAAATTCTGAAAGCAAACACCACCTACTCCGGAAAGGCTGCCGACATGTGGTCCCTCGGTGTGATCCTCTACACAATGCTGGTCGGAAGGTGAGAGAGGAAATGTTTTAATTATATGAGTTGGCTTTATACATACACACATATACTCAAACACTGCCAATCAATTGAAAGCTTTTCTTTTATTCCGCTTTTTATGCATGGGGTGTTATCTGAAAATCGTAAAGGAAGCATACAAACGTCCTGCCCTCGACCGATGATGCTCGGAAGTAGGTTGTAAAACTTGCGTTGTTGCGCTTCCTTTTGTGAGCTGTTTTATTGCCGACTGATCCTTTTTTTATTGTGAACGCCTCTTTGTTCAAGTGATCGATATCCTGTGTCTAAGCGATCATCGATATAATTAGTATTAGCGCTTGCTTTTGTGTGGCACTTTTAAACTCATTTATGCCACCGTGGAATAGCTACTGCCACGATACGATGGCCGATGGGTGAAAGTATCGTATAAACCCATTCGTCTTGCTTGCTAGTCCGGGTCTTCAGACCTGAGAAATCACGATCCGACAGGATTAACCGTCACTTAGCGCTTGATGCCATCTCCTGACATCAGCAAACCAAGTACCTACATTAGCATTTTATAGCGCACGTTTTCTGGAAGTAAATAAAGAAATCATGATGTTTGAGGTGACTTTACTCTCTGAGACCATCACTATTATTGGACACACGATGCGGTCATCGTGCTCGGCGGTGCTGCAGCGATGCCAGGTTCGAACATGACTGCACAGGTATCCGAGCTGGCCGCGATAATGAACCAAAAGCGAGAGGAAAGTACCGTAATGCTTGACCTCATCGGATTGTAGCGATTGGACGCGGCACAGCGACTGCGGGTTCTTACTCTGTTCGAACATGTTTCATTCACCTATGAAATATGTATAGCCGAAATCTCTCTGGTGAGTCATTTCGGTGTGCATTAACATCGAACACAAAGGCAACTCGCAAAAATCCGAAAGGAAACGAAGGAACGATAATAGCTCATGTGCATTCTTGGTGCATAACTGAGAGCATGAATCACTGCTCGAATTCTGTAAATTTAACAAAACTGGCAAAGAATCCGGAAATTCCAGCTTTTGATCGATTTGAAACAACAAATTTAATTACATTGCAATCATTTCTGAACTCAATTCTCGATTACTTTTTTGAAGGGAAGTATCAGCTTTTCTAAACAAGGGCATTTGATCGTTGGTTTGGCATTCTAACACAACTATAAGGTATGGGAAAATTTCCTCTATTATCTGATGATAGTGTTAACTTTCCTTGGGCGACCCTACCAGTTACGTCAAATCGATGATCAAATGCATTGTTTACTAAAGCTGATACGTCCCTTCGTAATCGAGAATATTCTGAATATATAGGCATAGTCCGGTAGCTAAAACCATCAATCGCCATACAAACAGGTTGCATGCTTTTTTGTATCATAATCGGGTACAATAAAAGATACTAAATCGAAACAGAACGCTAATCTTGGATCATTAATTATCAACACGGGTAGCCAGTTCCAGTCGTCTTAACCTAAGACCATAAAAGCAGCTGCAATAAATCCACTGCGTATTTTCTCCTTTGTGTTTTCTATGATGACAGGTACAATATTCCGGCAAAAAGGTTGAATTGTAACGGTTTCGGATTAGGTCTTAGTTGCACCTTAAAGGAAAATATTTGCATGCTACCTGTTGAGTACGCCCCTGGCGCAGATGCGCACCTTCCCATCCAAGACACCTTGCCTACACAAACATCAACGCACCCAGGTATAGTACGCACCTTCTCTCCAGAGACGTTGGGCAAACGTCACGGATAAACAATTGATAGTAGGCAAACGCCAAAAAACATAAAACAACAATTTAACGTGCGGCATCAATGAGTTTGCGGTCTAAATTTAGTTAGTTTTTTCCATTGAAAGTTCAAGTCATTAAATTCAATTACTAGTGTAAAATCAGCTAGGTATAATTCTATTTCTAAAATTCGTTAAAATTATTATTTACAATTAATACCTTTTCCATAGTGTTTGATAAAAACTAGTGAACTTATCATAACCTAAAATCTACTTACATCCTAAACCTACAGTGAAGGTAAAATTTATAATCTAAAATACTAAGTAAATACTTAAATCTAGATTGCTTTAGTACGGTTTATAGGATTCAGTACGGATAAATTGTTTGCTAGATTGCCTGTTACGACGGCCACCGACAAAACGAGACGATCTCGTGCGACCCGTAATTTCGATCGCTTGCAAGTGTAGCACAACGGGACTAAACGTAAGTTACAAAAGAAAATTACTAATGGACTAATATTAAGATGCAAACATGTTCACTAACGTTACATCCTTCCTGAACCTTTTTCCAGGAATATAATAATATAATTAATGAACGTAAATCCCACGTCTTCGGTAGTTCTAATATTATTGTATTGAAAATCTCCCTGCGTAAGTTGGCAAATTCCCAACATCTTATTATATTCGTTTATTGGCGAATAAACACGGTCAAATACGGTCATGTCGAGTCGCGGTCGGTCAAATAAAGGCAGTAACGAAGGTAATGAACGTGGTACAATTAGTGGTGTGCAAGTGGTGGTCACCAACGAAACGGTCGAACCGGAGGCATCATTTCCAGGCCAGTCATGCAGAGTTTGCCGTGGAAAGGACACCGATGAAATGGTGAGGTGTGATCAGTGTCTGAAATGGTTTCATTTTAACTGCGTAGGAGTTAGCCAAGACATTGAGAACAAGCCATGGAAGTGTCTAAACTGTGTTAAGTTGCAACTAGTACCAGATACCCTTTCATCTGCAAGCAACACACTTTCTGTGCTGGGTGGTGCAAGAAAGAAGAAACCAGTGGAAACAGATGGCGATCCTGTTGCAGATCCTCTTCAGCACAACGACTCCAAGAAGAAACATCAGTCTAAGGAGGGCAACGTGAAAGCGAAGTCAATGGTAACTCATGCGTCAAGCCGAGCGTCTAGCAGAGCATCACAAACTCTCGCCAAGCTAAAGCTACAGAAGCTGGAGGAGGAAAGGACCCTGAACGAGAAAAAGTTGGAGCAGGAACAAATCTATCTGGAGGAAAAGTACAAACTACTGGAGGAGATGGCTAGCGAAGCTGGTTCGAACGCGAGTAGCGTGTCGGACGTCGTAAGAAACTGGCTCCCACAAGCGCAATCAAGTCATCGCTCACAATCGGAAAATCAACCGTTGGCAGTTCACCCCCTCGATGATTCCCCTAGAACCAATAATGGCAACCATCAACCCAGACCATTCGCCGATGGACAACCGGAACGTGAAGAAGATCGCTTCTCGCTAACAAGGAAACAATTAGCGGCGCGACAGGCTATTTCCAAGGATCTGCCCCAGTTTTCCGGCAACCCTGAGGATTGGCCTCTATTCATCGCGACGTTCAACAACACAACGGCCATGTGTGGCTTCACTAACGACGAGAACATCTTTCGACTGCAGAAAAGCCTGAGAGGACGAGCCTTTGAAGTGGTGAAGAGCCGGTTGGTACACCCTGCCAATGTTCCTGGTGTGTTGAAGACGCTGAAAATGATGTTCGGTCAGCCAGAAGCCATCGTTCAAACGCTCATCGAGAAAATTCACTCCCTGCCGGCCATAAGAGAGGATAGGCTAGAAACTCTAGTGGATTTCGCTGTAAATGTGGAGAACTTCTGCGCGACCGTAGACGCCTGTGGCTTGGAAGAATACCTGTATAACACGACCCTCCTACATCAGCTTGTGAGCAAGCTACCTCCAACAATCAAGCTGAACTGGGCGCAGTACAGGATTTCACTGCCGGGAGTCAACTTAGCATCTTTTAGTTCCTGGATCTATTCCCTCGCGGAGGCCGCTAGCATAGTGACTATTCCAAGCATCACGAGCTCCAAGCCAGTAAGGAATGACAGAAGTGGAACAAAGAAAGGAAGTGGCTTCGTGAATACTCACTCGGAAATCACTGCAGAACCTCCAAGTGGGAAGAATTCCAGTGCTAGTAACGAGTGCCCCGTCTGTAAAGGAGCTTGCAAAGCGATTGACAAGTGCAAGCGCTTTCTTGAATTCTCTCGCGACTCACGTTGGGCTATAGTGCGCGAATATTCACTGTGTCGCCGTTGCCTCTGCCGTCACAATGGAGTGTGTCAGGCCAAACTCTGCGGAAAAAATGGATGTCAGTTCAAGCATCATACTCTCCTGCACAACGACCATTATCAACAATCGTCGCCAGCTACATCAGCGACGTCGCCATCTTCAACAACAGCACCCTCGACGAGTGGCAGTACGGAACATCCCAAAACAGGAACTAGTTCAACAGCGCACGGTTGCCACACGCATCAAACCAAATCAAGCGACATACTGTTCCGTTATATTCCGGTAGTTCTGTACGGAAAACGTGGATCGATCCGAACACACGCATTCCTCAACGACGGCTCCGATCTTACATTGCTGGACGAAGAGTTAGCTGACGAACTAAAGCTGGAAGGAGAAGTCAGGTCGCTTTGCCTACACTGGACCGGCGGCACGCAGCGTCAAGAAGTGAAGTCAAGGGTCGTCGAACTGGAAGTAGCCGGTGTACACAGCGGAGCCAAAAGTTTCACCATCAGTGGTGCACGAACAGTAAACGAACTTCTGCTTCCGTACCAGACGATGGACATCGAGGAACTATCATCTTTGTACCCGCATCTGCAAGGGCTTCCGATCGACTCATACCACGGTGTTCGGCCACGGATCCTGATTGGACTTAAGAACCAGCATCTCAGCCTTCCTCTCAAGTGCCGCGAAGGCAATCTAAGCGATCCCATCGCCATTAAGACTCGTTTAGGCTGGACAGTGTGCGGTGGATGCATGGCAGAACCTGCAATCAGCCCGGTGCACTCCGTCTACCACATCGGTTCTTGCGAGGACCAACACAGTTCAGATGAGGATCTACACCAAGTCCTCAAAGATTACTTTGCGCTGGATAGCTTGGGGATTATGAAGCCACAACACGCACCTATCTCCGTCGAGGATCAACGAGCACATTCTCTTCTCAATTCGCTCACGAGGTTCACAGGGGAACGCT